ACCCCCCCCCCCCCCCCCCCAAACATAAGACCTGTTTTATGATTCAAAACCCAAGCTGTTATGAAGAGCAGGAAATTTACTTTTTTGCTGTTAAAAAAATATTCTGAAGGCAAAAAACAATCAAGGCTAGACTTAGACACAAAGGTCCAAGTAAGATACAGAATGGGGACCCATTTCAGAATCATCCATCCTTTTACCATCAGTTATCTACGGTACCTGCCTTCTGTCTTACTGGATGTTTATTCCCAACTTCACAGATCAGAACCTTTCCACATCAGCAAAGAGACAAGTCTAGGTGCTCACAAGCACCACGGAGGGTCTGTGTATAGGTATGTACCACAGAATAGCTGGCCCGTGTTCATGGGTTGAACAGGAATTTGAGATGCCAGTGTCGGACTTTAAGTAGTTCATTGGGAGTGCACAGAAAAAGAAGAGTTCTATTTGTATTCATTGAGGGGGATCTTTCCCTGGATACATGTGGTGTGACGAGAACTCCCTAGAGGAACATCTGCAAGATTTTTATTTTGTCAAGACTTTGAGGAGAGGGTACTACTGCCCTCATACCATAAATGCTTTCTCCATTCATGCAATGAAACACATAACCTCTACCCATCCCTTCTATCTGTCTGTCATTATCACACAGACTCCATTCAAGCAAGCATCTGAAATAACGGAAGGAGAAGAAAAGGAATTTTGTAAATTATTACATATTCCCACTGAAGAGAAGATTGAAATTTTCATTTTGTTCGTTTCACTGGTTTAATTTTTGCAAGGGGTGGGGTAGGAGGAGAAAATAGAAGGAATAGTTGTGTTGCAATGCAATGCTAATGAGCACATTTACAAGACTCTGACAGAGACTCTGTGCTTCAGCTTGCTTTAATAAAAGCCATTTTGGAAGATGTCTTAGTTGCAGTTGCACAAAAAGCATTGTCAGGGCTTTTATATTTTCTCATTTAGAATACTATGACATTATTTGGAGAGGGACTAGGTCTGCAGCCCATAAGCCAGTATCAGTATTGTATAATACAGCAGCTAGACTCATTTTGCAGTGTGATTACAAAACCCATCACAGTGAATTATACAGCAAGTTAAATTGGTTTCCACCTTCTGCAAAGCCAGAATATTATCTTGCACAAATAGTGTACAAATGTAGAAATAATACAAGTCCATCTTATCTGAACGATAGACTACAGAAAGCTTCCACTGCTTACCCCATCAATACTCTCTATCTGCTGCTAATGACACCTGCTACGTTCTGAAAGCAAACTCTAATAATGGTGAATACTCCCACCCTTTTTTTTCCTTTTATTAAGCTTTAATTTACTAGGACATCCTGCCACTGAAACCTTTCCAAAACTGAAAAATAATTTTTTGAGTAATGTCTTTTCACTCTTCTTCATCAGAAATACTTGTGAATGTGTGTTGCTACTGAACATTCTTCCTATTAACTAAAAAGCACCATCATTTGCTTTAGATTTTCCAGCATAGTTTAAAATACAGAAACAGTCCTTTGGTGTAAGTAACTCAGACTGTTGACTATAAGTCTTCCTATGATAGGTTTTTGTATTGCTTCTAGTCATGCTTTTTATTTTTTTTACGCAGCACTTAAACTCATTCAAGTAACAATACAGTCCTCTGATTACATCTGAAAAGTAAGCCACTTGCATACAGTTGTTTGTTGTTTTGTTTTGGTTTTTAAAATACCCCACAAATAGGATAATAAGAGAGAAGGAAGAGAGCTTGGTGAACTTAGCTATCCCAGCTTACCTACCTGCTTGTTTCCAGTCACTGAACGCACCAGGTGAAACCAGCTGAAAAAGAGCTATGTGGTCTTAATGAACATCCTAACATTATGCTCACAGTATTATAGCTCAGGATAGGTGAACTGGTAGAGAGAGAGGCAGGGTAGAGGAGAGAAACAGTCAAACAGCTCAATTAAGACTGAAATTATATCCCAAGAAAATGAGATACACTACCTGCCAAGGTTTCCTACATCTGGACAGGCCTTGGAGAAGCTTTCTAAGCCCGTTTATCCATTTCTAGAATTCAATGACCATGCAGGCTGTTAAAAAAATCTGCCACACACATATGTAGGTACATGCAACTGCATGGATATAGTATAGCTGATGTATTTTTCTCTGTGTATTAAAATCAGCAGATCCATCTCTAGCAGAGCTGTACAAATAAAGTTATTTCGAACATACTGTTTTGCAGACATTCTGTCTGTTCTCCAGATTGAGAATTGTTACTGCTGCACTGAGACAGAATTGATGGTATTTGGAGTTGCCATAGTGTTAAATGTTTCTCCTGTGATCAGCAACTACTGATTTAAATGAAATTCTTCAGCCATTTTCTCTCCTGTATATTTCACAGTCATTTCGAATTCATCATAGACAAAAAGGTATAAATGATACCGGGTGAAAAATGCAGTGTCTAAATGAGCTTTCCATGATTTGATTTCAAGGTCACAGCGCGCAGATAGCATATGCTTTCAGTTACTGTAAAGGACAGAACATGTTGAAGACCTTTAGTCATCTGAGGTATAATTAGTAAACACATACACACATCCACTTCACAGTACTTGCATATTGGAATGATTTGAGCTGAATTTTGTGTCTGGACAGTGTCCAGGCCAAAAATTTAGGACTGCAGCTTTTATGTGTGGGATGATTTACTTTAGCAGTTCTGACAAATGAGTATGAGACATAGCTAGGTGAAGGTAAGCCAGAATCAATGGGACTCTAAGGCGCATGGCTCTTGTGAAAGATTTTGAGAATTTAATTCTCAAATTTATCGGTATTAATAATTCTAATTTAATGCATTTTCCTTGTCACTTACAATGAGTCAATTCCTAATTAAAAGTTGTTGAAAAAGATGAATAACCATTTCATATGCTTAAAAAGAATGTCACTAATGTGTCTAAATCTAGATGTGAAATGTAGAACGGTATGATTCTAATCCCCCTAAATACCATTGTTATCCAAAACAATTTTATACTGAACTAATTTCATTGACAGAAAAGGAGCACGTACTGGAAAACTGAATGATCAACATTTAACCCTCCAACATGTATTGGTATAAATGTTATATTCAAATTACACAGAATTAGTTTGCAGAATGAATCATTTTCCTTTGGTGGGGTAGCAGTGACTTCAAAAATAGTGCATCGCTATTGACAGGTCACAAATTCATTTCTTTTTTTCTCCCCTTTGCATTGTCGATATTCATGTTTAAACCTGTATAAATGCACAATTTACAGCTATGCCCACCAGTAGTAGCTACCATCTCTTTTTGACTGACAATGATGAGATTTCTGTCATGCTTTGCCTCTCCTACAGTGCCAGTGATGGGATTTTTTTTCCTGGAAATCTTATTACTGAATGCGCTGTTGTGGTCTCAGATGGAACTTTCAATCAAAAAGGCAATCAGAAGGTTATCCATTTGTGAGTTTTCCTACAAAAGAGCTCTGCAAAACTCTACAGTATATACTATAACTCATAGTCAGAGTTACTTGCCCTAAACGCTTATGTGACCAGACAATAATGTGATCCATATCTCACAGCATCTTCCTTTGCTCCCAGGATTGGGATGCAGACTAGAAATAGGCTCAGTCTAAGTTTTGAATCAGACTTTTCCATTTACCCCACTATTAGATTTGGCGTGGCAATTCAGAATATCCTGGCAATTGGTGCAGGTGATTAGTAAGAACATGTTTGGTTGTTATTACAGTCTGTTATGTAAATGTGTTTGATTTCATTGAAATCTTCATGACTCCTTTACTACCTTTAGATGACTTCACTGTTTAGTTCACAGCATTACCAAAATTGCTAGATAAAGTTATTCAGAGACATTTTTTAATGCAGCGTAACTTAAATGAATTGGATGTTTCATTAATTTCAAGAAAATCTTTACAATACATGTGTTAGCGTGTTAGTTGTCTGCGAACTACGGTCATGAAACCCAGCCATGCCATAGCTAAAGCAAAGTAAATGATTCCATTTTGAAATACAGGCAAAAGTGCGGGTGTTGCATTAAGACATTTTTGTTTGCAGAACAAACATTACTGAGGAGCTCAGAGGGGACTGTTTTTACTAGCAATACTTTAACAAAAGAAATGTGAGGTTATTTTTCAGCACGGCACAGTGAATTAGACACACGTAACTCCTGTGGTCACAGGCTGCTGCATATCTAATTCTGCAAACACTGTCAAAAATTGCTTCAAACATTATCCTTTTTTATTTTGACTGTATTCAACTAATAAATAAATTATTTTGAAGGAACTACATTCCTCAACAAACTATGAAGTTATTCAGGCAGATTCCTTTCTGCAGGGTACAGGTAAAAGTGAAAGAAAAGCAATAACAAGAAAAATATTTATAAAAATATATTTCACAAAGTAGGAAACAATACAGGAGTTTCTCTGAATACAATACACAGAGTAAATAAACAAACAATAATATAGCTTCAAAACAAAGTAGAAAATTAAAATGATTTGCATGTAATACGTAGTTTTATTATACAATTGCTACTTCTAAATGGCAAGTTTGCATTACAAATTGAGTATGCTTGCAGCTTCTAGTGTTGTTCTTTCTCTGTGTGCAAGAGCCCTGGTGCATCACTATGAATATTATAGAAAAGAAATGCTAATAACATAAGCAGTAAAATTATGTACACACTGGTTCCTGCTCTAATACAGTGGAGAACTATAAGCATGTTTTTTACTGTACTGTGTTATGTGTGGATTTCTAAAAGTCTATAGTTTAAATATTCACATGAACCAGTTTACTTCCAGCTGTTTGTGCTTGTATTAAAAACACCAGGTACTAGATTTATGAAGAAGATATAAAACTGTCAAAAGTTTTTTCTGGGAAAGTTTTATTCCTGCCAGCATTCTCTTAAAATTCAGCTACTGCAAATGGATAGGTTACTGCTTTAACCTGAAACAATTTGTCATTTTTCTTTTCAAAATGTACATGTATTAAACATTCATTATATATAGAAAAAAAATTCTAACGGATATAATTTAGTTTTCTTCATAATCTTACTCTATAGACTATCAGTCTTAATAAATAAAAGCAGTAATGGACATCAATAAAATATTTATTTCAAAGATTAAACAAATAAATTCGATCTTTAGCAATAAAATCAGCAATTCTTTCATATACGTCAGTCCATCCCCTTTCACAGTTTTTTCTCTCCTTTCAGAAGACGAAGCACAGGATTGATCCTTCTTCTAGAAAAAGATCCTTTTTAAAGCAAGGTTTTGTAGCCCTGCCCCTGAATCTCTGCACATTAGTAGGATTTATTACCCATCACTGGAATGGATTAAGAACATGTGAATATTTTAAGGCTTGACACAATACTTAAAGATGATATTCAGTCTGTGGTTACGTGGCCAACAATTACTGTATGTACAATGCATGGTCACTGCACAGTAGAAGCCAGTAGGAATTTACAATGCTATTTCTATCCAGCATTGCTAAGAAGACCAAGATATTGCTTTTAACATTTCTGTGGCGGGATCTTTGTTGGCAATGCAGAAACAAACGATTAGCTTTACACATACTGGCAGGAGCTACTGTTCAACAGCAAAATCCCTGCAAGTCCATTTTCTAAGAAAGCACCAATTTCTCTTTGTTCTTTTCAATTCACTGAAGATAATCAAAGATCCAAATCTCCATCTTCAGAGTGGTCAAGTGAATACCAAATATCCAAAGACTTCTAGACACTCCACATACTTTACTTCACACTCCACAAGACTTAACCTCCTAACATATACTTTTTTTTTTTGGTTCAACATTACAATGTAGTTGATTTTATAGATGACTGGCGCTAAACTTGCCTCTAAAACAAAAAGCCACATTAGTTTTAACTAACAGCAGTGGCCCTAGAATATTACATGTTCATTAAGTCAACAGCGAAAAAGTTTGTAATCCACTGTCAAGTTTCTTTGTCACTTTCTCCAACTGAGTAAAGTTCTCCAAGTCTTTTAAAGCGAGGACCCCATTCACTGAGGTAGTCAAAATTCTGATCTGAGTCTGATGTAGAGGACTCCAACGAGCTAAGGGAACCAGCTGCTGACCCTCTTCCTTCATAGCCATAAATCTGGATAGAGTCATATGGTGGAGCCGTGGGATCATTATCGGCTTCATGAAGCCTTACATTAATAAATTCATCAACATCAACACCATTAGGAACAGGTGCAAGACCCTGCCTGGGCATAAACTGAAGATCAGGCTTAATATCCTTACGAGGCAAAAATCCATTAATTCCATCCGGATTTTGCAAAGTCGCAATGTCAAAAGCTTCTGTATCTTCTTCTCCACCCCCTTCATCATCATAGCGAATAATATTTTCCCTCACATCTTCATCATCTTTGATGATTAAAGGCTCATTCTTATGTCGTCTTAGTGTTACAAACAGCACCACAATGACTGCAAAGAAAGCATCACAGGCTGGTTAGGCAAAAAATTTCCAGTTAAAGCACTACATGTTAAGCACAGTTGTGGAAAGTGATAGGTTGCTTTTTGTGAGAGTAGTAAGGGTAGTGAAAACCTGAAAGAGCTATAACTTCAGCCACATTGAAGTGACGAAAATTTGATCAGAAGCAATGGTTAGTTCTCTATTATCAGCTTATATTTACATCTGAAGCTCAATTTTATATAAGCAAAAGATTTTGCATGCTTCTGTTTTTGAACCTTAAATTTAGACAACAGCTTTTCCCTTTGGAGGAGTTACAAACCTAGGTGAAGTCAAACTATCATCATTCACTGAACATAGTCTATAATGATCTATACATTAGACGGGGTTTTCCAGAATTAGAGGGTGTTTTTCTGAAAGCAGCCCTGATGAAAGAAGGAAATTGGTGTCCTTTCTTTATGTGTTGCAACAGACTCACACTATATAACTGAAAAGAGAATGAGATAGTAAGGGAGAAAGAAAGAGCTTAGACACATCAGTTTCAGAATCATGGACAGATGCATAAAAAGCTCTAAAATGGTTACACTGTTGTTTTTGCAGCTTAATGCTGAAATCTCAATTACCAATGTAAATCTGTTACAAAGCGAAGCCGCAGAGTACAGAAACAGGCCTCTTCCTTCACTGTTCTCTCCCTCACTTGATGTCATATACCCATTTTGTATGTTTTATTAAGATATACAGTGCTTATCTTGTAACACTGTAATGTCCTCTTACGCCCTTACAATCCAGAATAAACTCATACAAGTCTAAGAAGATACAACAAATCCATTTTCCATCATGTGCAGTATATACTGTGTTCACCCTGCTGCTTAACGTACCTGATTTGATTTGCAGTTTCACGTTCCATACCTGTTTATTATGTACCTTGTGTGGAAGACTACTTCAGATTGGGACTTCGCGTTATATGCTTTTGTTTAGTTCTTAGTACAGTAGGGGTGCGGTCCTGACAGGTCTCTCAGTACTGCTGCACGTTATATCGTATTAGAACGTATGCCCTTCTAAGTGACTTCGTTGCTTACTTTCAGCCACGCAGGAGTCAGAAAGATTTTGAACGCCAGGCTGTGAAATGAATACATACCTAGCAGCAAAATGATGCACGCTAATATCGCAATTAGGGCTCCCATACTGAGTCCAATGGGAAGTACATATGCTTCAACATTACAGGACTGGACAATCCCATCACTGCTGCAACCACAGACTCGAATAGTGAGAGTGCTAGTGCTGCTCATGGGAGGATTCCCACTATCGCTTATGATGATTGGCAGGAGATATACTTCTTGCTTCTGCCGGCTGAATCCACTATGCTTTGCCAATATGCTGAGAGTATTATCTGGAAAAGGGAAAATTTGCATTGTTTCATCACACAGAAAACCACAGCTTTTTCTTAACGCATTCAGAAAACCTCTGTACTAAGACATAAGCACTTTATTATACTCATGATACCGGCAGCATGCGACACAGAAATCCTTCCCCTTTCTGTTTGGCTGCCCATGCCCCAAATGAAGGAGTGCAACATAGGCATTTTCTTATGTCATGTGGTGCGATCATAATGGCAAACTCTCACTTTCTTCTCTGCATACTTCCCTATAGATGTCTTCCCATCATGATTCATCACTGTTTTTCAAATCACACAGTCATAACAATTCAACCAGCACAACAAAAACAGAAATGAATGTTGAATGTGTTGTTGAAGTATGTTGAAGTAACCCAAACTTAATAAAGCACATTCATCAATTAAAACAAATGTTCCATGCATTATAAGCACAAATTGCAAAATATTTTGCCCTGCTATAAAAGCTTCTTCTTTTTTACTGATAAGCAATACAAAGACAAACAAAGGAAGAGATGAATGTATTAAAAGTTGCAGGCCTAATTTTCAGCAATCTAAGCATTTATTTGGCCTCAGAGATGAAAATAGAACAAAACAGTGTGTCTCCTATGAATGTAGTCAGAGGAAATAAGTCTAGGGTCTAGGACATTCTTACCTCTGCACACATCAAGATACTTAATTTGAGAAACATACAGAGGCAGGCTGACTACGTGGCATCCAACGCAGACATGAAGTTAACTTATCAACTCTTATAACACATGTACTACTGTCCACTTAACTCGTATCAGTGGTCAGAAGAATACAGGTAGTACAAAAGAAAAGATGGGGAGATGAGGAATTTGCACAAATACAGTTGCAACTTCTTTCCTTTTCATAATAGTTTAACACCGTCTCAGCCAAGTTGAACTTCTTACAGGACGCCAACAGATGCCTGTTTAGCCACCTAAGTTTAGCCTTAGAGTTAAGCACAACTATGAATATGGCTGTGCCAGTATTAGGACTCAGTCCATTTACTGGCAAATACAGACATTTGCCTTTCCTACATATATAAAGCTGAACATTTAACTCGTGAATTATACATGGGGGTTTTTTCCCCTCTTTCTTTTCCAAATACGCAGCTAAACCTCTTATAGTCACTCAGTTCTCAGTTCACCATCAAACTGATTATGTTGTAACTCTTTGAATACTTACGTATAATGTGGTACATGTGATACTTTAATTGTAATTGATCATTGCAATCAATTAAGAAATGAGTTGATTTTACTTAGGGTAATCCATATAGATTCTATTGTGCATAGTTGTAAGAATTACAGATTTTAGCCATTTAACAACATACCATCAAATATCAATGATCTTGTACATGCCAGAATGCATGATTAGTGAGCATGTCAAATACGCAAAGCACTGACTTATTTACATACTTAAATATTCACTTTAGTTTTTAACTGCTTTGTCCTGTGGAATAAAAAAAAATAATTCAGTATTATGAGTTATATAGTAACAGAAGGCATCTTGTACTAGTTTGGTTTTTTGTGTTCTTTCACCAAAAATAACACTACCAATTAATAAAAAGATTCCAACAAGCACACAGAATAGGAATATGTGTGTGTGTGTCACTGGGGAATCCTATAACAATTTAAAAATAAAGTTGCATATCATATTTGGGAGAAGGAGATTGTCGCTCCTTTCATCAACCTCACTTTCCCTGTTCTACCGAGGTTAGTTTTCCTGAAGTTTCATGAACAAAAGTAAGCCTTCTGATATTTTATACTATAAAATGGGCACACGCAATCACTAAATGCCATTCCATGGAAGGAAAGAAATTACTGTGAGTTATATGGCAGGCACAAGGAAGAGACAACTTGAAAGACAGGCAGCGTTCATATGACAGATACAACAAAGACCCAATTCTTGAGTTTAAACCAAAAAAAGGTACCTGAAGTGCATGACAACATGTATATGCATACACACAGAGTGACTGTAAGAAAGCTCTGTATGTATTTTGATCTTGGTACCGGTCAGGTACTCAGTTGAAAACATGAAATAGTTTAGAAATGTTTAAGTTGTACTGCGATCACTAGGAACATTTCTGATAGCCCATGGTATTTGTGCAGCATGTATCACTGGCCCCACATAAAAGACACAACGTATGCTCACAATAGCTGGCAGGCTACAAAGTACAAGAGACAGAGGGAGATGCAGAAAAGGAAGAAGGGGAAAACATTCATGAAGCCAATACCGTAAAGACATTTTCCACATCCAAAAAAAAAAAAATTGAAATGCAGCATTTTATTCCTGAAGTCCTTTTTAGTAAGGAGGCATATTAGTAAGGAATAAAGATAGTTACAGAATATAATGATTACAGACTGAAACATTACTAAACTTTATCATGTCCTGAACCTATATCAAGATACCAATCAGGAGATAACTCCTACAGTTAATTCATTACTGCCATAAAACAAAAGATGAAGAAAGATTATTTAAGCACATGAGGTAATTGTCTCACACAAGAGAACAAAGAGGCTTGTTTTCCCATTCAGTGACTAAGAAATTGAACTTCCAGTAGTCTCCTTCTGAAGTTCGGTGTCTTTGATTTTGCAGTCTTACTGTATTCCTTCCATGGTGGAACCACCTACCACCTTACGTGGCCTAAAGAGGTTCTTAGTATAATGTATATTGCAGGTTATACAATAATTTCAGCATTTTTCATAGCATGTAGAGTACATAACACATGAAGATCAACATAAAAATCAACTACTTTATAAAGCAGTATAAATATGGTCACTTTATAATACCTTTGCAGAACAAAAAAGATTCCTAATGATTTTTCTTTCCACGAATCCTGAGTTTTTATCTATTCAAGTTAGAAACAGTCACATCAAAACCGATGGCATCCTGGAGCTAAATAAATAGTCTAGTCCTTCCTTGTGCCCTTTTTAAAATTAACGGAAGCATATGTGTTTACTGAAGATAAATTTCAGGTATAAGCTCTTAAGAATTCTGACAGCTCAAAATAGGACCAAACTCCTTGATGATACCTAGTGTTACATGTGCCACGCTGACGCAGTGGGAAAGTCAAGTATGCTTTAAGTCAACAATTAGCACACATCTAGAATTAAGAAAAACTGAACTCCTCCTTCTTGGTTAAATGTGTCACAGATTTTAACACACACGCGTGCAAGTTAAACCAACTCCAGTATCATACTCGCTCTCTAGCTGAACTGCAAGGAACAAAGGGAAATGTTATGTTAGTAAAATAATAATGTAGCTAAGTTTTCCTGAATATCAGTGTGTATAGCTTTACCAAAGTAAGAGTGACTACCACATCTATTGTAATGTGTAAAAGGTACATTTTTTTACCTGACAGCATTCTTTCCCCCCCATTTTCAAACACTGACCAATACATATACTTGTCCATTTGGCTTTCTCCTGCAAAATTAAAAATACCTCAGCATAAATTGCATCCTTAATCTTTTTGCTTTAACCTTTCAAAGGAGAAAAAAACTATGTGGGGCTCAATATCCAGCTCTTTCTGTCTTTGAGACAAATCCCACTCAGACGTGTCACATCTGTAGTCATTTATTCAGAACTCCAGAGACTTTTACAGTTATATTACACAGTGACTTCTTATGCTCTAGAAATCTGTACTGATACTGCCTGCTCCTTCCTATAAGCCTGGTACAGTCCTTCTCTGTCCAAGCTGAAGGAAAGGATTGATATGCTGAGCCCTAGCATCCCTGCCCTTTACTGATATGCAAAAGAGGTAAGGCACTTGCTTTAGGAAGAAATATAAAAAAGAAGCTGTTCTTGTTGGTGACAGCTTCAGATGCCTTCTGTCATTCTGACACAGTCACTGCTACTCTGGCTGGGTCATAAAATTCTAGTAAGCCAGAACTGGAGAGTAAAACAGTGAAAAAGGAAGAGTACTATAAAGTGACAAATAGAAAAGGGCAGAAAAAAACAAGAGGAAGGAGGAGAGATGGAGAAAATAAAGTGCCCATTTCTGCCAATCAGTGAAGCTATGCTGAGTGTAAGAAACTACCAGGTACCAGTAATGGTTATCAATTCAAGTTCAAAAGACAGGAGATAAAGTAAAAGATAAGCAAGATATTTGAGATATCAGCTGAACTATTTAAGTGTAAAAGAAGTAATGGTTGAATAGTTAGCACTATGTAAGAAGAGATGCAAGACAAGGAGAAAGAGAATAAACCTTCCTTTTTAAACAGAGTTTTTTGTGGGTTTGTTAAAAACTTCTATGCTAGACTGAAGTTGAATTTGTTGTGCTCGGGAAGAAACTGGCAATTAGTAGTCAACAGGAAAAGCAAAATGAAATGACTGAACTGTTTTGCCAGTGGACGACAAGTACTCAATTTTGTCTTGGGAATATTGTTTAGCAACAAATTCCTTCCCCTTCTTTGCTATGTCCTAAAATAAATATACCTTGGTGTGGCTGGAAATGTGACTCGAGTGAAAAACAGTGACTGTCTAATTGATGTTTTAGTTGGTCCCTAGAACTTGAAAATAAAACCTAGCAGCATGATTAGCAATAAACTCAATTGATCTGATTTGCTTTCTCCTCTCTGTGGACAATCCCCTTACCTATAGGTGACAAAACAGTGGGAATGTCCTCCAGAAACAACCTCCAGCACTGCTGCATGAATTAACGTGGCAGCAGGTGCTCAGCAGGAGAGGGGACAATCACTTTCCACTCATCTTTCCAATTAACCTGCTGATCCTTCATTATAGACCTGTTCAGGTTATTTATGTATTCATGTTACTTTTAGCAAAACAAGGAAAATTACATGCAGAAAAAAAGAATCCCTTTCTGTTAATAAAGCTCAGAGCTAACCTGCCGCAGGCAAAGAGAGACACTGAGTCTCTACCTCCAGTCAGTGAGGTACATTCAGGTGGTCCTTTGACCTTCTCAATCAAAATGAGCCTCCCTCAATTCTGTAGCCTTCTATGAGGGGGAAGGGATTGAAGAAGTTCATTGAAATGCC